CTGCTTGAAACTTCTTTTTTATTAAGTGGTACAAGGACACATGACAAATGTCATAGCACTGAGTTGCCCTCAACACATCATCGGAGGCGACCTCCCCATCAAATGGATCCCCAAATTGAGAGGCAAAAACTTGAACCTCTGGACTATGCCCCTAGTAAAGTAGATACATAAATGTTTAAACTGAACATTATTAGAAAGATGCTATCATCTATTCTTTGTTATATTGAGCTTCAATATAATGCTACTATTACAAACCAAAAATTTAAGCAATGTTGATCTCTTGATAAATATGTTGATAGATTATTATTAGAGTATTTAACATTGTGACAACTTCTCATTTGTAAACACTGAAGATATTGAAAGCATGAGCAATTGGCTCTTGGTGGGAATTGAACCCCGGTCCCCAGAATGAAAAGGCTATTGGACTATGCTGCAAAAGACATATTATATAATTTATATATATCTATATATATATAGATATAGATAGATATAGATATTTAAACTGACCACAAACAAACATATATTTTTATTTTGTTTCTAAGCCCGACACTATTTTAATTGGTCTCTGTAACTCCTCCATGACAAGCTACCCTGCTGGCTAGAAACAATGAAGTTTATATTTGACAAAGATATCAAATGTTAGACAACAGAATGATGATCAAAAAAAGACAGATTTAAATTCATAGATATTAACGGTTATGACAGTATGAGAAAAATACTGTAGATGAAAAAAATTACTTTCATAGCTCAAAAATGACTCTTGGCTGAAAAACTTTGACAAGAATGTCTCATCGGCTTGTCCTTCGGCAGGCAGAGAGGGATGGTCACAGAGCACGTTCATGATAAGTTTCATGGTTCTGTTTTGTTTCTGATTGGTGCAATTTGAGATGTTACAATTGCCCCCAGTCTCCCCTATCTCTTTCAATTGTAAAACTGAACAGGAACCAGCTGAATGCAGGGCTGTAGACAGTATTATGGACTTGGTGTCCTCAATAGTAGCTGCAACCCTAACTGATGTCTTATGAATATGTATTACATTTATTCTGGAGCTGCGATTCCCAAAGTGTGGTGCGCGCACCCCTGGAGGTGTGTGAGGTGCCTCTAGGGTATGGAACATCCAAAGTGACAGAACTGAATGAAAGAATAAATAAATGTGGAAATAAATGCAAGAAAGAATGAATGAATAAAAGAATAAATAATAAATGCAGATATATATCAAAGAAAGAATGAATGAATAAAAGAATAAATAAATAAATGCAGAAATATATCAAGAAAGAATGAATGAGTAAAAGAATAAATAAATAAATGCAGAAATATATCAAGAAAGAATGAATGAGTAAAAGAATAAATAAATAAATGCAGAAATATATCAAAGAAAGAATGAATGAATTGCTTTTGCCTTTCCCCAAGGAGACCTATTGTCATTGCTTTTCCCTTAGAGATCTATTGTCATTGCTTTTTCCTTCCCCTTCCTTAACTGTCAATCAACGTGTTGTGGCCCGCCCACTAAGTCTAACTAATCACTCACAGAAGTATTTCTCTCCATGATCAGATGTATAAAGGTTTGATATACACTCCATACCAGTTGGTGGCGGTAATGCACCAATTTGTTGTTTGCCAACTGACAATAAAAGCACAAGGAAGAAGAAGAAGAAGCTAATGTTAGATAGAACCAGCACATGTCAATGTGATCTAAATGCAGAAGTCCATTTACTGGAGATAACTGTAAGAGAGGGAGAGGAAGAGGGCGGAGAGGCAGAGGTGGTGGAGGTGCAGCCAGGGCAAGGAGAGGCAGAGGACCTACCTAGAGTGATGGCTCAATAGAGGACGAAGAAAGAGTGGAAGCCCTCCAAAGGAACCCGAGGGCTGTTACCGAGGTTTGTATTTATACGGTTGTTGTACAGTGATAACGTTATTTACATAGCAGCTCTGTGCACATGTACCCCTGGTACTGTAACATTAGATAGTAGTAACATGTCATTTACTGGGCAACAATGATTATATGAAGCCATATTATACAAGTTGAGCAAACACTAGCCAGCCCGCAAACCCTAATATGCAGTACCATGTTGCCAACATAATGTCATGCAACTTATAAAGCCTTATTTTATCAGAATCACAAATTCTTTATTGATAGCCAAGGGGAAATTCTTGGTCACAATTGCTAAGCTTGCATGTCAATTAAATATAAAAATTATGAAATCTAAATCTAAATAAAGGTGATGTGGACATGTAAAGTAATTTACAGTGTAGTGAACAACGGTGTGGATTTGTGCATTTTATATTGAATAAATTTGGAGCTACTCTAAATTCCTTTCTCCTCCCCAGAGAAGATGGGGAGGGGTCAAAGTTGCTTTCTCTAAGTGCTATCCCGACCATAAAACTGGCACCTTTTTGATTCCAAAGCTGATAACGCGGGGCCTGACTGTTGAACTGACAAAGGGACACAAACCAGCCATTGGCATCTCCCTGAACAGCCTATCAAAACTGGCCCCCCCACACACGTTTCCGTGGCAACTGACCTTATTCTTTGTTTTATTACCACATCAAAGGCATACTCCTTGTCTCACCTAAGTGTGACATTGTCCAGGACAGCTGAACTTTCAATGTAAAAGGACTGCAGTCTCCAAAGACTCAAAGCATTTAATTAAATCTTTAGTTACCTGATTACGTTTGCCTCTATTTGAGTAGTTATGTTAACTGTTGTTACTATCTGTTGTTGATATTAGTGCTGAAAAGAAGTTACTTGTGCAGCGTTTTTATTTTCAGCAAGACACTCCTTCATCTAATGTAATCCAAGCTGTCCTCATGTAACCTGAGCTCCCCCAAGTGGGCGAAATAAGTATTACATGCCCTCATCGGAAATGCCGTTAAATGTATAAATATCCTGACCAATAATGTGACAATTGTTTCCTGTTACCAAATGCCTAGAACAGTACAACCGTTCAAACATTGAGGTTCGATTGTGGAAAATGTTTGATTATAATACGTGCAAATAGATTTCTTTTCCTTAGACATTAAGTTTAGAAAGGCAGTCCCTTGGGAAACCTGAGACACCCCCTGGGGAACCACGCCCCAGACAACAAAAGAGCGACACGCGACCTGCTTGCTCTCCTCTCTTCTCTTCGCTGTTGGCTCTTGCACTCTGCTCGGCCCTCTGGACGCTTCGGCACGCCGCGCGTGCCTCGCCAGGCAATGCCCAGACTCAGCCAGCGAAACAAACAGGCCCTTTTGTTCGCCTGAAGCTACACACCTGAAGTGCCGCGACATCGATCTGCCTTCAGTTTGTTTTATTTTCTTTATTTCTTTTGTTTGTTAAAGTGATGAGTCCGTTAAGTTACACTGGACTAATTCAGGAACGACCAAGTTCCATTTTAAGCCTTTTTCGTCGAAGCCAACTTCACCGAGGTCAGACCAAGCCAAGTGGTCTCGCCAGCTACAACGAAGGAAACCTGAAAACAGCCGAATTGCCAGACGGAGGAGGCGTTTTCAATCAGACACGGAGAACCCCGGAGAATCCCTAGCAAAAAGCCAGGATCGGGCAGCTAGCGTGGGACCAGCAACAGGCCAAAAGCAGGCTGTCGACAAGCAGTAAGACTTAACACACGTCCTGTGATCAGATGTCCATTTTAACTCCTAAAATCACAGCATTAGTTTACTTTCATTAGCTCTTCTATGCCGTATGAGTCAAATGCTTCCCACAATCGAACCTCCAGGCTCATTGTTCAGCAAATGTTTATGTTCCCTGTATCCAACCATCTTTTTATCACCTTAGTTAGAGAATAAATTCACTGTAATATAATCAAGAGCTGTGTGTGTTGCCTATTTATAGTTCCTGCCAAGAGAATTGACCCTTTAGATATGAGACTGACTGACTGATTTAAGATAATTGAGCGATTATTAACTAACTGATCACTAGTAATAATTGTATAATTATTCAAAACTACCTAGAGGTCCGGAGACTCTAGGATTATAACAACTCCGGTGGTGCCCTTTACGAGGAAATTCTGATTTTATGAATAATAATTCATAATTGGGTATCAATTCTCATAAATTTATTAAAATGCATAACTAATAAATTTAGGTCTACTACAACAGCATCAACTGAAGTGTAATGATAAATAGTAGTAGTGCATTAAATATTAATAGTAATAATGAGTACCGGTATATTTCACTTGGAACGGATCCAATCTTAAAAACAACATCGAGACAGAGTATTGAAGCAGAGAATGTTGCATATTGAGTATTTTTCCCTGTGTCCTCTTTCTTCAGACTTCTTCTTCAAGAGATGACCCTTGAAGAACACAGAGCTCTCCTCCCTTCTGCTGGAGAGGCAGCCAGACCTGGTCTTCGATGCCTTGATGATGCATCAGCGCAGACATGGTGCCCCACCTTCTGCCGGAGTGCCAGGAGTACCTTGGTGTACTTGTGTTAACTGTAGGGAAATGCTGTGGCCAGGAGAAAGCGAACTGTGTGAGCCTACTGCCACACTTCTCCCAGTAGTGCCTTGAAGAAGGCTTTATTCGCATTCACAAGCAGTACCGGGAGGACATTACGGCATTAGGCAACATCAGGGAGCCTGGGGATGACAATAGGGAGTACCGCTATGGTGCCTATAGACACTTCATCTATTGGCAACATGGAGCTTTAGGACAGGGAAACCAACTTGTCGTCCCTAGTTGTTGTGTTTGGAGGATTAGAGACAAGTTCCCTGATCCTCAAGGACACTACACGGGTTTTATTCCTGGACTGTGAATTTCCTTCCAGGCCCTCTGGCATGGTCATACAGTTTCACACAAATACTCACAAACCTGCATCAGCATCATCAAGGCATCAAACAAATGTACATAGTTAACATTTGATTTATTATTACATTTCTATATATATTTATTCATATTTCTCCCCTCTTTATTTAAATTTGATGTATGTTGTATAGTTATATGGTGGTATAGTTGTTCAACTGCAGTTCTATGGTATCAAAAAAATAAAAAGGTAAGAAATAGAAGCACATGTTGTTTTTATTTTCATTATATACATTTGAACATGTGTTTAGAATTTCAAACTTACATAACATTTCCAATACCTATTTTAGTTATTTATATTTACATAATAGGGGACTGTAGCTGTAGCCTTACTTATCATTACTGTTCAAATTGTAAACTGTAATTTAGGCTACCTACTGAAAATAATATGCGCTGGTCACAGTGGACTTAGCAGAATAAGATGAAACGTGTACAAATTGGAAAAACATGAAATAACCACTGTAGGAGGGTAGGAACAGAATTTAATGTTAATTTCTCTTTTTGAAGAGTAAAAGCTATGACTTTGTCAGTGAACTGAAGTTCTTTCCCTTGTGATCCTGCCTGACAAGTACCAGGACACATGCAAGGTGATCTCCTGTGGGGATCCTTCCACATCAGATACTGGTTGGAATAACGGTCCTGTTGAAGACAGTGCCATCAAACATAGTTACAGACTATATTTAATTTAAATATCATTCAGTGACATGTAATATGGTACAACATAGGCAACAAATTTGTGTAACATACCTAGACCTCTTCTGACTTGTCTCTGCAACAAGTCTGATGTGGCTGGTGCAGGTACGGGGGCACCAAACCAAGCTGTCTGGGGTCACCTGGGAGAAGGCTCCTCCTTCTAGGCATCCCCACTCCACTTGTGAGTCTGTACTTCACAATCCTTCTTTGCAACTCAGAAATGTATCCGTAGGTTCTTTCAGATTTCACGGCATACCGTTCTTCTTATACAATCTTCTGAAACTGAAATTACACAAATTACAACCATTTAATATCAGTTTAGAGCAAGAGAAAACTTTGAAAGTAAAGACAATGAATTGCATATAAAACATGGGCTGAATATTGTACTATGAATGGGAATATTATACAAGTGTAAAACGTACGTCTCTTTGCCGTCCAACGTTTTCATTGTTGGTCGGTTCCGGTGGAAATTGTAGTACAAAGCAGCAAGCAGAACTCTTGCCTCATAAACTGGGGGGCTGAAAGCAAAGCGCTTGCTGGCATACATCAGGATATGATTCTGGAATGACTCTAGGTCTGCAGTCGATCTGATAGAACAAACAAATCCATACTTCTGTGTACATGAGCAGTAAGCATAAATATTACTAATATACATCAGTGTGAAAAAGTATAGCCACACTACCTGAATCGCAGATAGTTGCGAACATCTTTCTGCCACCTCTTATCGAGAACTATATCCACTAAAGCTTTGTGGTACTGGGAGTCTCTGGATCCACATCTTTCCCTGCATTTGATCCGATTCAAGGTGCCCGTGTTTGCAACTTCCCATAGTCCAGGTGTGAATATTGTGACATGGTTAAGGATGCCAACCCATAATGCCTGCAAAACATAAAATTGCACTATAAATATGTCCTTAATATAGCAATTAATTAAATTACTCAAAGATATAATAAAATTGTGTGCTTACAAGAAAATGGTTGACTATGGTTCTTCGCACCATGCCATATGTCCAGACAGTGATGAATTCCAAGGGCCTTGTATTTGCCTTTGTCTGGGTCTATGAAGCGGTAAATAATGTCATATTACTATAATTTATATTGCTGTTATACACATGCATCCATACAATATATCACATGAATACTCACTCATAAGTGCACCAATCTGGGCATGAGCATCTGTGCAGATCTCCACTAGCTTTATTTCTGATGTAAGCTTGTCCGTACGTCATCTTCACAAAGGACATTGTGTGGTTCTGGGAAAACAGGGTCATGATCACAGGGAGAAGGCTCATCAGGAGTGTCTTCATGTGCAGGCAAGGAAGTCCATCGATAGAGTGTGCTTTCTTCAGTGCTCCACCCATTCTATTGAGGCACAAAAATCTGTAGTAAACAAACACCACAAAACAATTGCAAATTGAGACTGACAAATAACACACCGTATAGAAATCGGTGGAAGATCCTCTTCATCAGAGCTGAAACCATTCTGTCCATCATCTCTTTCAAGGGAGTAAGATGAAGCTTCATCTGCCCAATCAATTCTTTACATAATGACAACTTTCAGATAAAAACAATTTCTCAAATAATATCACGGAAAAATAATACATGTAATTAGGAAATACTACTGTTCATTGGGTCAGTGAAAACATTTTCCTCCAAGTCCTCCTCAACAATGCTCATGTCATGTAAGCTGCAAAAAACATATTACAAATAGATATTATGAACATTTGGAGAAAAGCAATACAGGGCTAAAAGTTATGATGTGTACATGTTACCTTTGTTCGAGGCCCTGAATTTCTGTGGCTTCGGGAATGACATCAAGATGCTCATCTTTGTAAAGAATAACCACAGCAAGTTGTGTAAATCCCACATATGCTCATTCAACAGTAGATATAGACCAAAAATAAAATAACACACTATTAAACACTAATCATAATGTTCATGTTTCTAATCAAAGCGACAAAATTATTATATTGTTATGCATGACTTACCGGTCTGTTCCACTAGAAGCACCAATGCTAGACAATGCTGGAGCTGGGACTTGCAAAGGTTTTCTCTTCAAGGGAGTCGATGTTGCAGGACCTGTCTCGTAGCTGGAGAAACAGCAGCCTCAATAAATGAAGTGCTACTTGACTGTAATACATTACTGTACTTTAATCCACAATGTGTTACATCTTTGTAGGGTTTGCTCATCTTGCCTAATAAACTGAACATCCCAAAAACTATCACATCTAGTGCAAGTATGATCACCGACAGACAACATGGAAATCGTAAGCCAAGAGTGTGTAAAAATGTCCCTGTTTCTGTACCACAGTCCATTATAAACCACATCATGGGTAAGTTTACAAAGCCATAGTCAGGTGAGGATCGAGGGTGCTCTACAATATAATAATATAACACAAATAAGTACTGAGTGCCATAATTTGAGCTTGTAGTAACCTTTGTATGCACCGTAGAAGCAATACAAACAAATACGTTGTTTCTAATGTAAATTCTGACAATAAGCATAATTAGTCACTTGATAAGCACACAGTGTTGTTATCGTAATGCTGTTAGCAGTAAAAATACATGTTTTCCCCCACGGCAGTAAACATTTAGCTTGCTAATCTGAGCCACCATGCTCCATGCAATGTTACGTTTTTTAGCTAATTGTAATCATCAGCTGATTGTCTCACAATCATAAAAGACACATTTCTGTTCACTAAACGAAGCCGAAGCGCTGCAGAACAACCTTCGAAATAACAATCCAACTAACGTTACATATTTCTTCTAACAGGGTAGTAAAAGTTTAGCTGGCTAATATGAGCTGTTAGCTGTAGGCTACTAATCAGCTGATTGTCTCACGAACGTAACCGGCACATTTATCCCCACATATCGAAGCCATAACACAGCGAGGGAGAAGAACCACATGAAACTATCCAACTACATATTTTACACCACTGACAAGGGATAAGTCACTTCTCACGGTGTCTATGGCTAGTTTCTGGCTAATGCTAACATTATCAAACAACAGTTTTCATTTGTAATGCTAAAGTTGGAATAACGTTACCTTACCTGTCCATCAGAAAACAGGCAACTTCGGTGTCGCTTTGAAAACATTTTTCCCTCATTAGACCCTTCCATCTGGGAAAAGCCACACCGATGTTTACCTGTGATTTCTGCCTGCGTCGCTCCCGTATAAGTCTGACTTCATCATGCTTTCGCTTCTTCGAAGCAGATTCACCCTCCGTCGGCTCTTGTGCTAAATAATAGCTGCGGTCCTCCATTTGTCCAAAATTCCACTACTAATAAAGGAGAGCTTCTACTACTACCTAACGTTAGTAGTTAGAAACGTACAACTTCTTCTTGCTCTTGCTGCTACTTCTTGTTGCTTCTCTTTCAAGGTAGTAACGAAACGCGCTCTGCAGCGCTGTTTGTTCGCTGTAGGCTAGAGTAGAAACATGATAACACAATATGTCGACCTCCACAGCAGGGTGTGTCTCGTGTATGTAGATATAAATAGCTCATTCTAAGGTAATAAAAACATAAGGGTTCATTATGCAAGGTCTTTATACACCACTGGAAACATAGTTATGGATATTATATTGCATTTCTGTCAATAGATCCTCACATATATTATACACTGAACCTTTAACTAGTAACTATAGGCTATTTATGTTATATTAATTTGTTGCAGTTAAACTGCCATTCTTCACTGCTGAGAGTGCAACTGTGTACACGTTGTCACAGTTAGCCATGGTTTTCGTTCACTTTCGGTGTCATGTATCACCATGCACCTGGAACGCTTTGATGTGGGAAGTCGGAAGTTTCAACTGGGAAATATCCCAGTTCCGACCGGTCTTGACTTAACTCCTTCTAAACTTTCTACCAATCATAACACTCTTCCAGGGACAGCGAATCCTCACTGAAGATAGTATCAGTCATCGGCTGCTCGACCTGACTTAGTGGGGGCCACAACACGTTGATTGACAGTTAAGGAAGAGGAAGGGAAAAGCAATGACAAAAGGGCTCCTTGGGGAAAGGCAAAAGCAAATGTATGTATTTATTCTTTTATTCATTCATTCTTTCTTTGATATATTCCGCATTTATTTATTTATTCTTTATTCATTCATTCTTTCTTGATATTTCCGCATTTATTTATTCTTTTATTCATTCATTCTTTCTTGCTGTTATTTCCCCATTTATTTATTTATTCTTTCATTCAGTACTGTCACTTTGGATGTTCAATACTTGGGGTGCGCGACAGGAAAAATGTAATGGTGGTGTAAGTAGTGTAATAAGTATAACAATTATATAATAACAATAATTATTTGTTTTGTGGAATTTTTCATGAAATAAAACCTGAATTGAAAGCTTTACTTTGTATATTTAATTTAAAATTAAAAACGTTATTATTATTAGTTATCTCACAGGAAATGGATTCTCACACACCTCTTTCCCTCTCCCTCTCTCTCAGGCTGAGTGACCCGTGCTGTACTTACAAATTCTCATATGGATCCTCTTTTTTGTCCATGTTATCTGTTTATCAGGCTATGACAGGGTGCGATTTGTAAAAAAACAAACAAAAGTTTAACCATTACAGTATGAGAAAAGGTTTTACTGTCACCGTTACTTTTTAAAGTAATAAATATATACCAATCAGATAGTGCTGTGGGCGGGACATTGAGCAAATAAATAAGTAAATAAAATAAAAAATTATATATGTGTGTGTGTGTGTTTAAAAATAAATATATATATATATATATATATATATATATATATATATATATATGCAAACCTACAGAGAGAAGGGGTTTGGGGGTGCAGCAACCCGGTCAAGATGTAGAAGGGGGAGCGTTGCCTAAAAAGTTTGGGAACCGCTGCTCTGGAGGATCTTAGGCTCAAGGATCCCAGTTCTGTAGGCTGAGATAATGCCCCAAAATGCTTAAGATGAAGATGCAGCGGAGCCACAAAGCCAGTGACAAGAAGCTTTTGATGTCTGGGGGACTACAATTATAAATCGTCAGGCTGCCTTAGTAGGGGAGACCGGGTGTGGTTGTAACATGGGGAGAGTTGTAACAACAGTAATTCCACCAATTAGATAGGAGTCATGTGATCATTTCAGTATTTACCTACTTCCCCCCAATCAGGCATGCTGTTTGTCAAGTCTGGAAACAGGTATGTTCAGAATATATAGAGAAAAAAAAAGATTTTGAGGTAAAAAAAAGTAATTTTTTTGACCAAGACTGTATTTTGTTTAGTATCTATCCTACCCCGGTAGTGGGGTAGTTTGTAACAAGGGAACACAATGCATTTGACATCAATTCATGAGGTCTGTGATATTCTTGTAGAGGACTGAATTGGTGCCATTTGTAGTGAACAAATGTGGGTACTTTGTATAAAATGTTGAGAACTCTAGATAAAAATTCAGTGAATTATAGTTGCTGAAGCAAACGTTGTTACAACCATACCTCTACCCTTACAGCTTAAATTATATCTTTGAGGACCCTTGAAAGTAACCACATTACTATAAATCACTCTCACTCACTGACTGGTAATGACGAAGTTTTGCTAAAGGGAAGAAATGATTTGGACATGAATGCTGTCAGAATATATTTATTTAACAACAAATTCAGATTATACAGAAAAGGATTCAGGTGACACTGATTATAGAGATCATTTGGTAATGCCCTCTCTCTTCTAGTAAGTGCTGATTTTTTTTCTTTGATTGGGACATCATGGAGTGATGAGAAGAGATGTTCTCTCCTGTAATGAAACAGAGAGACATTTAGCTCAGATTTTCCAAACAGAAACTAAGAGTTTACAGTTTGCTTTAGAGTTTACAGTAAATTATTATTAACCTAACTTAGAATTATGTGAATGATCTAATGTAACTCACTTCCATGAATCCAGGCATGTTCTTTGTGATCAACACCTCATCACTCTCCTGCCGTCTCTTCCTCACCCTCCAGCGTTCACTACGATCAGCATGAACACCACCAACATGGCTGCTGCCGCAGACCCTGCCATCGCTATGACCACTGTGGGGTTATTAGCAGCTCCTTGTGGAGCACCTTGGTCTGCAGCCTTCATCAGACTGGAATCAGCATGGACTGCAGAGCGGGGAAGAGGCTGAGATACCAGTAGACCTGATATGTCTGAGGACAAAGTAGACGACAGCTGTGATAGAGATCTTAGATATACAGTATAGCTGTGTGTGATATTTTGGTCCTGTCTCGTTGTCTCATTAGTGTCTGAAAGACTCCACACCTTCCAGACTGAAGAGGAAGAAGGCATCTTCTCCTTTGATGAAGTTCCTGCTCTTTAGCCTGCTGTGGGTGATGAAGGCAGTTGTTCCAAAGCTGGTCCTCGATAGTAAAAGCTGCCATCAGACTCAGTCACTTTAGAGCCGACCTTCCTGGGATTGTCCCAGTAGTACTCAGTGCCTGAGAGAAACAGGTGAGCTGTCATTCATGTTTGACAAACACAGCTAAAGTCCATTCAGATTATCCACCCTACTCTTACCATCAGAGGACATCTCGTCAGGGTCGGTGGTGAGCATTAGATGCATGTTCATTTGCTGTCTGATGTCAGACTGCTGATCCATCAGGACCATAGTTGCCTGCTGCCACGGACACGGCCACTTGAGGTTGCTGTCGTTTGGGCCTGAGGTCAGGTGGAAGTAAATGGCCATGTACCCTGGACGGTCGCTCATTCCGTTTAGGTACACACCTACCTACAGATCACAGAGCAGTATGAAAATATGTGCTACTTTTAAAATCACACCAATTAACTCAGAACGCAGAAGAAAGATGTGCAAGCGTTTGATGGTAATGTAAATTAATTGACAATTGGCCTATATCAGTGGCAAAATAAGTGTTTCACTTCAGTAAAAGTGTAAAATCCAGTGTTACAAGTACAATTTCTGCATTCACAATTTAAGAACTTCTTCTTTACTTACTTAAGTAAAAGTACATAAGTAGAATCAAAATTTACTATCAAAAATTAAAGTACTCTTTATACAGAAAGGCAAAATTATATTACTGGATTATAATTAGTGATGCATTAATGTGTAAGCATTACTAATGTTGCAGCTGGTAAAGGCTAATATCAGTGACTTTATACTGCTGGGTAATCTATAACAATTTATTACAAAAGACTGGCTCAAGCACAACAGAGACTCCAAACCAAACTCCACTTATAGATTTAGAAAACAACACAGTTGTATGCGCTGAAGCCCGACATTTTCTGTTGCAAAATACTATAGTTGTATGGCTTGTTCAATGTTTCCCCTAGGATTTTTTTCAGGGAGGGTGAAAAACGTCTAGTGTGCGGAGCGGGCGTGTTACAGACATGTGGTGTTATCATAGACATGGTGCACACATTTTTGCCTGTTTAGGTTTGTCCCTGTCCTTTTGCCAGATTCCCTTTTATTTTTTCCCAGATTGTGTTTTCAGTGTTAATATTTCTGAATTCTGTGTTTTGAAATTTAAGCATATTTTGTAATCAGAAAAAGGGTTTAATCATGTGATTTGGTTTTAATTTCAACAAGTCAATAAGAAAATTTTACAAATTAAATCAATATTAATGAATTAATGTATCATGCAAATATGCATCTAGAAATATTCAAAGATATGTGCAATTATTTATGGAGACAATTCACAAGAAATGTATTGCAACAGCAGGATGTTAAAATACTATAATCCTGTTTAATATGGGGGAATACACAATGAATGCATTTTTGCAGTACATGTATGTGTATGTATGTCCCTTATTACTTGACAGCCTCCATTTGCTGCTAAACACGGTATAAGTGGGTCTGACGGAGGCTCTTCTCATGTGGGCAACGCTCCACCTTGTTTACAAAGCTTGACCGGACGTAACTTTTTCATTTTTTCTAACAAAATATCTGTCTCCGCCCACACAGGGGACAGTGATTCTTACTGCTGAATCATTAATAGATGCTTGCATGTAGGCCTGTGGCTGACCAGTCAATGGGGCTGACTGTGACAGGATGAGGCATGTTTGTCTCATTATAATAATAATTAGGCCTATCATTATTATCGTAGCCATTTTACTACAATTACGCTTCTCAGCTGCAGCTGACCTTTCTTTTCTCCGCGAGAGGGAAGAATTTAGAAATTTGCGTGGCGCTGCGGGGAGCCCCCAGCTGCAGTAGTGCATGGATCAGGCATAATATTCATCCAGCCAGAGGAAGCGATCCTGAACCGTTCACAGCGTGACGGTCGTACTAGCGACACAACCCGTTCCCAGAGAGGGAGTGGGGCGGTGGAGCATACAGAGCCAGGAGATCGCGAGCTGCATACGGTCGGTGATCGTTCCCTCTGGCTGGATGAAGTCTGACACTCTACATGATCCATGATGATAGAGAAATATAGAGATTAATGGTAATAAAGCATGCTGTCAATATTTTAGACCCCCAAAATATCACAAATCATGTTTTTAGGGGAGCTGATGTCTTATTAAGGGGAGCTAAGCTCCCCCTGGCTCCCCTGTAGCTGTAATGAGCTTGCATTGGCCGGTATGGTTGCACTTCTGACAGTTTATTAAAGTTATGAGCTCTTGCTAGCGCACCGTCTTCGATTTGACGGCGTGTGTGTGCGTGGGTGCAGAGGTGCAACTTATCAACGCTAAGAATCTGAGAGGACAGAAGCAGCTCTGTAAACACCAAAACATAGCAGCATAGTTTTTTCGCCCTCAAGAGCTATCGCTATTGGGTTTGTCCGCACGCGCAGAACAGAAAAAAGCTTTGTCTACGCCCACCCGCGGTGTGGGCCTCTATCACGTTGTCACCTTGTGTATATGAGGACTTTGATATATGACCTCTTTGACCTGGCCATCGGCTCCCATTGTGCTTCCGCACTGAGCTTGTCTAAAGAGCAGAAGATTACCAGTGGATAATGTCTTTGCACAAACCATTAACTTATTTCCCTCTTGCTCATCTTATTTGTCATTGCTTGCTGCTGGTCTGACTCTTGCCGCTCAGAGCAACGACTGGTATGCTATGGGTCGGGACTGTGTGGGATAATGTTGTTGCTCTTTGTGTGCAAGCTGTTTTTGGAATAAACACTCTGTGCCTGTCTCAGTTGACTGAGCCACATGAAGCACACACTCCCCACACTGTGTGTGCCACTGCCGTTAGCCTATTGGCTAACCCGATAATAAATGACTGCAAACAAAAATAAATTAAAGATAGAGGGGAAGATGAGGGGCAGTGATTTAAGGCAGGCATGGCAGAGAGTGTACACAATGACAGGGAAGGAGGAGAAGAAAAGATATGTTAGTAAAAATGGAGATGATATGACTTTTGCTGATGATTTAAATACATTCTATACTAGATTTGATACATCTGACTTTTGCACTGAACGTAATTTGATTAGGCAACATCTGGACTATGGCCAGCCCTTAGTTATAACAGCAAAGGAGGTGGGTAAAATCTTTAAAAAGATCAATCCACATAAGGCAGCTGGACAGGATGGGATCAGAGGTAGGGTTCTGAAGGAGTATAGGGGACAGCCCTTCAGACAGCTTTTTCAATTGTTCCTGGATTCACACCAGATTCCCAGGGCATGGAAAACTTCACTTATAGTGCCAGTACCAAAAATGTCAAAAACGTCGGCCTTAAATGATTATCAACCAGTTGCTTTAACATCAATGTAATGAAGAGTCTTGAGAGGATGGTCTTAAACTATCTCCTTAAGGAAGTGCAATATAAATTGGACCCACTGCAATTTGCATATAGGAAGGAGAGGAGTACAGAGGATGCTCTGTTATTTATGCTGCATAATATTTATTGTCATCTTGACCGGCCCAAAGGGTACGTTTGTGTTCTTTCTGCAGACTTGTCATCTGCATTTACTACCGTTAGACCCCATATTATGATGGAGAGACTACTGCAGTTTGGAGTAGAGTCCTTTTTCACTGACCGAGTACAGTGTGTCAGAGTAAATGAGGCAGAGTCTTCTCCTATTATTACTAACACAGGGGCTCCACAAGGCACTATTTCCCTTCTTATTAACCCTTTATACAAATGAATGTAGAAACAACACACCTGAGCATGTTACTATTAAATTTGCTGACGATACAGCAATGGTTGGTTTGATTAAAGAAGACGAGAAAACCAACTACCGGCAGTGGGTTGAGCACTTTGTGGATTGGTGTAGGGAAAGTTTTCTTCTGTTGAACACCAAGAAAACTAAAGAAATCCTTTTTGACTTCAGAAGTGTTAACAACACCCACCAACCACTTACTATGGATGGAGAGAGTATTGAAATGGTAGATGATTATAAGTACATAGGAACAATAATTGGTGCTAAACTGTCATAAATAGCATCTGTATTAAAATTCCATAACATTATTCCTTCAGATAGTGAAGCTACTGGTGGCTGGACCTTTCGTTTGTATAACGCACAGTCTGCGATAAGGTTATCAGGCTTGTGACAAAAGAAACAACGTCTGTCCACCCCTGAGCCAACACGAGGTCTCTGAGTGTTACTAGGCTTCGTTACAGCGTCATCATAGGAAGAACAGTAATGCCTGATAGAAATGTTCTTGTGTGTAAAAGCGAACTCATCAGCAAGCATGGCAGCCTGCTGCAGCGTGGTTACCTTCTGTTTGTTGAGATAAACAACAATGTTTTCAGGCACACAGTTCTTGAAGGCCTCTAACAGCATCAACTCGCGAACTGATGAGAAATCAGCCTTGCATGCAGCACAAAGAGAATCCATTGTTCTCGGGCAAAAAAAAACAAACAATGCAAGTCCGGCCTACACCTTTCGTGAGAGCCCTGAAACGTTGCCTGTACGCCTCCGGCACCAGCTCATACACCAGCAGGATGGCGCGCTTAACTTTTTCATAGGAGAGGCTGTCTTGCACAGACAGTGATGAGCAAGCCTCCTGAGCTTTCCCTGACAGTTTACACTGTAACAGGATGGCCCACACGTCTTTTGGCCAACTCAGGGCAACAGCAATGCGCTCAAAAGCAGTGAAATAGGTCTCAATATCGATTTCACGGAAGACAAGGACCAGAGAAATGTTTACTTACATCAAAATTACTAGTAGCATCAGATCCTGATGGCACTAACTCCAACTCATGCATTCTAATGGCGGCTTCCACCTCCAACTCCCTCCTGAGCTGGTGTTCGCGCTCGCGCTCCTCCCGCTCCAAATGGAGCCGAGCCAAACGAACCTTCACCCGCGCGACCTCTCTAGAGGTAGGGGAGGACTCCACGGACAATGGATAATACCTCTGCTTTAACCAGAGAACTAGACAGAAAAACCATAATGTTTAGTGATAGCAAACAGATCAGCTTTCTTACATCCATCCAGCTGCTCTAGCGTAGGATTTGCTCTTCTAAACTAAAACACAGCCATCCTCGACGCAATAGCTACATGGCTAACACAATCGGAAGCAATAACACCAAACAACAGCGCAACAACCAACAAGTGTACGCAGACACCCAACAAAAAAAAACACAACAATAACCGCGTAGGCTACACAACAGCACAGTCACACACCAGCTTCCTCAAAAGAACCACCACTTCCCCAGCCGCCTGCCTACCCAAAGCTTAGCCTGAGCGGTCTTCTGCGGCTTGCTGGGCGTGAGGCGACTTTAAAGCCGAAACTTCGGCGGCCAGGGCCCCGAAAGCCTACCTCCGACAGCGAACTCGCTCCCCACCCAGGTTTCGGATTTATCAGTATAGTTTGGCGTTTTATTTACAATATTAAGTAACCAAGGTATAACAAAAACAACTTCCCAAAAACAAAGAGGAAGAGCTCAGTTCAGGATGCAGTTGAGACAACACGCCAGCAAACTAAAAGGCAGCTCACAGGAAGACAAATGCCACAAAGGAGAAATTAATACAATAATAGATACCACCCTCCCTCCACTGAGGGAGTAAACCCCAACATGAGGTTCGGACTTGATCCACACCACTGCAAGGACTCCACAAACGCCACTGCAGTGTCACCCAGCTCTGGTAAGCCGTCTGTCTACGTACAGTAGATCTACTCTCCACACTCAGCCTGCCTGCTCTCTGCCCCTTATACCAGCTCCTGCGCTCCCGCTGATTGCAAACTGGGAACAGGTGTGCACACTAGCCTCCTGACTGCAACATGCAGAGGGGGGAAGGGCAGGACCTGCAGAGGACAGACAAGCAGCAGTACACCTGGACAGACACACACACACGGGCCGTAACAGAGATATATTGGTCTTCTCTATCGCTCCTTTGTGGAAAGCATATTAACTTTTTGTTCCATTGCCTGGTATTTCACATTGTCAGTGAATAATCAAAATCAACTGCATCAATCAAACTAGCATGACGACGACCTGCGAGTCCTGATTGGTGAGGAAGGGGCAGGTGATTATTAGAGATGTATCACATCCGCTACCATCAGGCAGACGGTATAGGGTGCCATTCTTCCGAAACAACCGGACCCGCAGGTCATTTGTGCCTGCTAGTATTGGATTTCTTAACAAACAATGAGATAATAAAACAGAGCTGAATCTCTGGGTGTCGGCGAGCTGCACCTCAGTATCAGTTTTACAGCACTCTGGAGATGTTTGTGTTGGTAAAGCAGCTGTCTGGTTGTTGGTCTGATGTTAGCTGTATGCACTATGAATCTCTCTCTCTCTCTCTCAGGTCGAGAGTGGTTCCCCTCTTGGGCTTCTTCCCTCCTCCCCATAGGTCAGAGGAAGAAGCTGCGTCCCACCTCCTCTGCCTTGTGCACAGTCGGCTTGCGGCTCTCGCAGCGCCTGTTTGTGCGCTATAGGGAGCAGTGCAAGGGGCTCCCCCTGTCAGTGCAGCGTCTGTCTCACTGGCTGTGCGAGGCTATTTCACAGGCCTGTGTGTCAGCCGGTGAATCTCCCCCAGACTTTATCAGCGCACACTCCACGAGAGGTGTCTCTTTCTCTGTGGCGTTGGGATGATGGTGGACGATATCTGCACGACGGCTGCCTGGTCTTCCTCGTGCTCATTCATCCGTTTCTACCTGCGGAATGTCTCCCGTTTTTCGTTGACTCGCTCAGTACTGAGTATTCTGGCTGAGTGATTGTCCTGAGTGTCTCCTCCCAACCGGACGGTGGGGGGAGTGTCCGCTGCTCCTGCTGGTCCTGCTCCTGCTGGTCCTGCTCCTGCTGGCCCTGCTCCTGCTGGCCCTGCTCCTGCTGGCCCTGCTCCTGCTGGTCCTGCTATATGCGCAGTTGGAACAGTTGCAGCGCATAGTCTTCGTCTGTGCCCTAGTAGCTTATTATGTTGGCTCTGTGCTTGGTGGTACCTTATGTGCCCAGTGAGGCGCTGACTCATCCTGTTTTCGCCTCTAACCCAATAGCGATAGCTAGGGCTGTCCATGACTAAGGATTTACATAGTCGAATCAGAATTGCCATGTCTTGCCTATAGTCGACTGATAATCAGATCATCTATGTGTTTGTGCACGCTGATTGCGAGCGGTCGGGGTAGTTCCGCTTTAATGTTGAGGAGCTGCAGTCTCTATTCATTAGTCACTGTAACTTGCACTGTACATTTCCAGCTAAACTGAAGCTTATTGTTGACCATTTTCTCTCTGCTCGTCTGCCATTCACCCGTCTTGTGCAGAGTTTTGCGTGCATTCCGAACGGCTGACAACGGCCGTCGCGGTTCCTAAAGTGTCTATTACAAGAAATGGTTTAAAACGATATAATATTCTTTGTGTGGTTCATCAGTGGTGATAAATGATCTGAACATGACACGAGGTGCGGACAACTCAGCTCAACAACGGTGAAGGTGGGGCTCCGTCTCTTCAGCAAGTGTTCCTCTTCTGCCACCACACACACAGACACGCTACGCCTACACATGCGCACTGAATTTTGAATATGCAATTCAATTTTGTTGAAAGCTTTACTAAATTATACTAAATTATATAAATTATAAATTATATACTAAATTATATAAATTATATTATAAATTATATTATATACTAAATTATTACACTTTACTAAATTATAATCAAGCTTTACTAAATTACTGTCTTTGTAAAGAAAATAAAATAAAATAAAAAAAGGTATTTACCTGGAAGGAGTAACCTGCTGGTGACAGAAAGCGAGGGCTGTACTTTCCCTGTCCTGCTGGTGTGGTGGCCAGCAGGCCGGTGATGTTGTGGATGTGCCAGATGTGCTGAGGGCACTTTGTGGATGACAGGTTAATGTCATCCAGAGAGAAACCTCCCTTCGATGGCCCCTTTCCCCTCACGCCCTCAAAAACCACACGGGCCTTCCTGGTCACACTCAGATTGATGTTATGCAGTTCCCAAGAGCCCCTGACGCCTCCTGAAAAGAGGACAGAAAATAGATATTAGTGTTGTAGGTGAAATCTTTGAGGTTTTGTTATTTTTGTTTATTGAAACATGAGAGAAACCTGGTGAAAATTGCTGCAGTCTAAATGTTGCTTGGAGTCACCAAAGTCAGAAACATCCACATAGGGGCTTTAATTAAAAAAACTATACTGTGGATCATACAGTATGTAATATTTAATTTGTTACCTGAAATACTCTTGAAGAGCTTCCGTTTTCTGCTGCGGTCATCCTCTCGCACCCAGATGTTGAGAACATCATCTGCTGCCCCGGTGTTATGGAGGAAGAACTGCAGACACTGGGCTCCAGGTTTGGGATAAAGCCAACGACTCTCCAGGACTGCACGGTCACCAGGTTTAGCAGAGGCCGTGCTGAAGTGCATGAAGAAGCCTTTTCCTGAGGGCAGAGAGAACTTGTTGGGCCTCAGAACTTTCATATTACAGCAAACAAATGAAAAGTTAGTTCTGCATGATCACCTGTGTAGTGTTATGTGGGTTATAGTGTTATGTAATTGCTGGTGGGATTATTGCAGCGATAACATAGCGATACATCTATTTAATGGCACTGTCACTTCAAGAGTGCTGCATGGGACGGATCGTGCGAGAGGGATGAGTTTCCGGCAGGACACGGGGGAAAAACAGAAGTGTCGGGCCCCGCGGTGTAGAGAACCAGCACGGGATGTACTTTTGGGTTATTGATATGGAGGATATCTCCATAAACCATGGTAAATTACATTAATAATCCTTGAGATCGGCAGATGGAGAGTGAACTAGCTAGCGGACCAAGGTAGATGCACGAAGACCTGGCTGTCCCAGCTGATTCCTGATGATTGATAACCGAGTGAGTGTGTGTATCTTCGCCACAAGGGGAAGAGACTCTGACCAGTGGCGAGAGCGTGAGTGAGTGTATTAATAAACAAAATCACATTATATTAGTCTATACTGACGATGTAAATAAACAATGCTTATTTTGTACTTTTCCGCTGACTTAGCGGGGAGAGATACACGTGAGGAGTTCCTGGTGTGTGTGTGTGTGTGTGTGGGCGTGTCCTGAGGACGCACACTGCATTTTAGTGTTGGACAAAGTGTATTCTGTGAATGAACGTATTTTATGGTAAATTTAAATATTTCATCTTGAGTTTAGAATTGTGTGGCTAAGTGAATGTATTTATTTATATTTGGTTTTTATTTTTCTCAATTTAGCAAAGGCCACTACTGTTTTATAGATTTTGTCGTTTTGTTCCTGTTGCACAACAAAAGTTCAGTTTTATCTTATCTGCTTTTTCCATTGTTTCTTTAACACATTAACATGCATTGTAATGATTGACAGTCACCTTTGCATTGTCCCATGTTGGTGAAGTCAGTCTGAGGCCCTCCTTTTTACAGAACTACGTTGTTCCCACTTTGCATTGCCAGGACCCTGAATCATCCCACAAATGTCCTCCTCCTCAAAGTCACAACTGTCCACAAAGGTAGAAGACTTGGCTGTGGAGAGAAAACTTTTTCATCAAGACACTTCAGTACAGACTTGAATGACCAACACTTAATCTTGTCTCATTTGCCACCATTCCTGTCATAAACCTGTAGTACTACCAAAATGTGTATATTTTTACATGGATAATACATTGATTAATTGTACAAAACATTTTCCCCCCTTAATGTTTTTGTATTACACTGAGTGTTAAATATTCAATACTTCAACAAAACAATAACAAGGGAGTAAGAATCTGATAGCAGGTGGACCAAATACACACACACACAAAGATACACACAGACACACACAACTACACACAATGACATCTATCCTTCCACATGTATCAGCACGAACATATAGGCCTACTAATTATATTTCCTAAGAAGGAGAAAGTAAGAATACAAGTACAAATAAATATAAGAAATTAAAATGAAAACTTGACACACATTAATTCCTTCCTACGAAATGATCAGGAATTTAGTCACACTCTCACTTATTTTACATTCTTAGACAAAGTTAAATATACGCACACCACAATGAACTCATTAATTAGCCCTAGAGCGAAGCCATGGGTCCAGGGACCAAAAACCATTGGACCAATGTGACGTGTAGTGTAAAGCTCTTTGAGTGGTCGGGCAACTAGAAAGGCGCAATAGAAGAAGTCCAGTGTGTTTCTCATTTACATCTATGTATTGTGTTGCAGAGATACCTACTGAAGTTAGCATGCAAACAAGCTAGCTCTGGCCAAACTGTTTCATCATACCTCTTTGTAACTTAAGTCCAATGGTCCAATAGTACAGCTCAGGCTTCCCCTGCAGTTTCATCAAGGTCGCTACGTAACACCTATTTATTAAACAGAAAAATACAACCGTACCGTCCGTGATGGGATCTCACCACGTGGGTGAACAAAGAGAGGCCTACATGGAAAAACAAAAGCCTCAACAATGAATCACCAAAACCCCACCACGCCTTGCAAATCTCATCTGGGTGTGATTTTAGTTTGAATTGAGATCCTGTTTTTTTACTGGACGACATCAACAGGACCCCTGGAAATTCCTGTGACATGACCACAACGTCACCGAACGTATTAAGATGCCTCACCTTTCCATTGCAGCACGAGCTGCTACGGGAGGTGTTGCACTGCCTGCCAACGCTGTACTTTAATAAACGTAGGTGACAGTCTCCAACTCACTGGACGAGCTACAGACATCTCATTTTGACCCTTTTTCTCTTGGTTTTCTTAGAGAGAGTACATTATGTTTCGTCACGCGACGGCAATATTTTAGAAACAGTGGAATCTACTTTTTTTTATAATATTATGACAAAATGATTGTATATTGAATAAATATCACATTATGCAAAATCAATGTTCACTGTCTGCCATTTTGATACCACTTCAGAAATGTTCTAATTCTACATTTTGGCAGCAGCTGTCAATAACCTTTGAAAGAAGTTTAGCTTCATAATGTTTAGCCAGGTTCAAACGACAAACCAAGGTAAGGTGTTCTTTAAAACTGTTGGCAAACATCACTAGAGATACTGAAAATAGTTCTTCTAAAAATGATTTCAGTATTATTCCAGTGGATATATTATATTTTTATCTATTGTTTTTCTTATCTGAGAAACAACATTATGTAAGTCCTGTGTGGTTTTCTAATCTTGTTAAATAAAACAGAACTGCTGTTAGCTGACAGTAATAAACTGTTGGGTGATGTACTGAGACAAAATCTGTCTAAACTTTATTTTATTATAGTTCCAGTATACTGTACAGTATTATGGCAGGTGTTGCCAGAGGCTTCCTTTTGTACCTCACAATATGTCAAACATCTATGGTAATGAAGGTAACCTGTCTCATTGATTCTTTGTTGGACAAATGGCAGGCTGACAGAACTCACTGCAGTTGTAGAGACGGTTGAGCTTGGTTAGGTCACTAGCACTGAACCCCATCCTCTGACCAATCACATCAATGAAGTGGGGGATCTTGGTGACGATGGTGGGCTCAGAATCAATGCTGAAGGACGTCTTTCCGTAGTGCATTACAGAGCTGTAGTCATAGGGAACACCTAGAGCACTGGACACCGTGTCATTGTAGCTTTCGAAGTTGTGCTTGTGACCTGAGGAAGGCAGAAGAAGAATGTCAGGAAGAATTCAGCTGTTATTTTTTATTTATTGCAAGCAACTGTCAGTTTTGTTGTGTAAAACAAAATTAGATGGTGGGCATGGATAATGAGAAAAATGCAGGAGTAGTTTCTGTACAGTTTGTCATTTATTTTATAAAGTTATTACATGAGTGTACACTAATGTAAGTGATGAGCTGTAATTACAAGTATCACAAATCAGTGTCACCAGGTTCAATGTGATCCCACATGATGTTGACGTAATCATCACGGTCGGCTCTGGACTGCTCGTGCCAGAAGCCCAGAGCGTGCAGGAACTCATGCTCAACGGTTCCTAGAGAGTCACAGTGTTCACCAATGGACAGCTGCTGCCTCCCCATACGCTGGTTGCCTACATAGGAGGAGCATCTACAGAGAGGGGAAGCAAGATGTTCACATGCAAGTGACTAACTGTGTCTGCCTTTTGGTGCTGGACAGGTCAGTCAGTATGTATGGATGAAAACAGGGTTGATGAAAGCAGTGAGACTAGACCAAATGAGTAACACTGAAGTACTTTAAACCACAACGACGAGCAGAAAACTGCTAAAAGGTTTTGTAGAGCTGAGGGGGAGCTGCATCTATTGATACCGTGTCATTACAAGCGACCTCTTTCTCATTGCAGGATGCAGTACTGACCTACATTTTGTTACGGCCTTGGCCGTATCCCTGGTGTTACCCCTTCCCCCCATCTGTCTCTCTCTGTCCTTGTGTGTGTGTGTGTGTGTCGTCATGACTACCTCCTCTGGCTCCGTGGGCTCACGCAACCTGTTGGCAATCAGCTCATCACTCCTCATCTGACCACACACCTGCCTGTCATCAGCTCACCTTCCTGCAGTACATCTTCTCCGGTTCTCCAGTCATTTGTCGCCAGATTGTTGTCCACCCGTAGCGGTAGCTACTCCGGCTCAAGATTAATCTCATTCTAGAACTTCGTATTTCTGCCTTTCCGTGTCTTTGAAGCTAACTTTGTTTTTCTTTGCCCCAGGACCTCATCTCCAGCCACGCAACCGCCTCTCCTGTCTCCTGTCTGCCTCCCGGTCTCCGCCTCACCAACCCTCAGCATCCGCCGTTTAGCCTTGCCACCGCCACTTTCCCCAATTCCCGTGTGAAACTGACAATAAAGTCCACCTTGTACGTGTCCTGCGCTTGTGTTTCCAGTCCCTGGTTTCCGCAACACATTTGTCCTGTTCAAAAATACAGTTTACATGAACTGAACACAGCAGTTTGAAGATCTGCTCACCCTTCCCCTTTGAACACAGAGATGTAGTTCTCCTCTCCTTTCCGTGGTGTGAAGTCAATGCAGGTCTTCAGTCTGTACTGGTCAAATGCCTTCAGGATTACTCCCTTTGCATTCATCTCTACACATTACAAAGTGTAAGAACATAAATATTGATAAAGCAACCTAATTTGGTAACACGCTAACTACTGTGAGTTTCCAAAACACCGTGTCTTACCCAGACTGTCCTCCAGGTAGTAAGGAACGGTAGTTGGCCAGCGATACTCATCTCCTATGATTGAGTTTCTGATGAATGTCTGATGGGAATAAAGGAAATAACAGATATAAAATTGAATACAGGTTCAGGGGAATTACCTGTCATTGAGTTTTTCTCTTCATGTGCCCAGAAGGATAGTCCTTCTTCATCCTCTTATCAAAGTAAACATTAACACTCGCTTCACCTTTGACACGAGAGTGTGAGACGCTCTGCACCAAAGTGATCTGACTGATATCACTGCGTATGTCGCATCAGCTGGGCGCAGATTAGTGCCATGTCAGTCGAATATTTATTTTCTCTGCTGCTCCACTCAGGTGCTGCATACATTTCTTTCTTTTATTTTTGTAGTGAGTAATGATGTCTGGGGCAGAACGTATCGGAGTAAAAATTTTGCTTAGAAATCTAGTGAAGTAAAAGTAAAAGCTGCAACAACCTGAAGTAGCCTACTCAAGTACAGTACAAATCTGGAAAAAAAAACTATGTATGTACAGTAACAAAGTATTTGTACTTCGTTACTTTTTGCTGGTCACAATGTAGTCAACCAGACGAGCCACCACCTCCTGTGAAGTTAAGATAATACTCATGACTGTTAAAATGATAATTTAACCTTGTCCAGATATGTAGTCTCTCCTTGAACTAGGGCTGTTAGGACCTCTGGGTGGACAGAGGCCGTAAACTAAGGCCCCATCCACACTACTCTGTTTTTGTATAAAAGCTGAGTTTTAAAACGAATATGCTCCCAGTCCACACCAGCGTTTTAACTGTGTATCAGAGTTGATCTCCGTCTACATTAAACAACTGAAAACGCACATCTAGTGGCCATTCACGTAGGGTGAATTCAGGTATATTGGGACAGTTTTTGTAATTCTGTCTTGTGATCTCGTTACATCAGCAAATGTCAACAGGCTAGATTATTGATTAAGATGTTAAAATCATTAAAGACTCCAACATGTTGTCAGACATGTTTATTTTATTTATTTCTGTGTTATCTGCCATTCTATTCTGCAACAGACCTTAAATTCATCATAAGAATAAAGTAACAGATTAAACAAAGTGAGTAGCAAAACGTCTGCATGCATCAGCGATGCTTCTTGATTAGACTTAATTATATGTTACAGAACTGCTACATTAAACATAGTAAACATTTGCTTTATTGTCAGAAGATTGTTGGAAAAGGCTAATTTGACCAAATGATAGGGCTTTCTACAGACAATGTGGGGGATTAGCATCATTAGTAATCTTACTCTATCTACTTAAAAGTTGCCTGTAGGTTACATCTCGGTGGTTCTGTGTTGACATACATGTGTGGTCCCTCTGTATATCTGGTTTTATGAATCCACACTAGTGATAAATTTCATTTTAATAGCCTTTTAACACTGTCCCAATATATCTGAAACATGCTGTCCCAAATTACCACAACACGTTTGGTAATTTGGGACAGCAAGAAAATGTCCTAATTTAAAAAATGTAAACAACATTTCCAAACAATATTTTGTATTTTGGTAAACTACTAAACCATACATGTTTTGTATATCATTTAAATCTACAGTATATTAGTCATCAATGTTTTACCCTTATAATCAAAATCAATCTGAAGCCTATTTCATTTCTGTTAACTCCATCCTACCAGGTTTTCAATCCAGGGACTGAATCAAAACTGAATCTGTCCAAGTACTGAGTTATTCCCAAATTCCCTTCAGGGAACAACAGGGTCCCCAAAGGACCAAAGAGGTATAACCTTGCCATTGGACCTGACTAATCTCTTTGTGATCACTTACCTATTACTATCTGTGTTTAACCTGATATCATGTTTCAACTACTTTCATTATTTTCTTATTAAGAATCGTTTAACAATCAGTACTGTCTTGGAACGTAGCCTGTTCATTCATCTGCTACTATGAATTGTGTTGTTCAACTTTAACAGGTCTACAGTTTGACTTTAATAGGCGGTGGGCCAACGGCAGTTGTTGAGGACTTCTTCAGGGTTTTCAACAAATTAAACTAAATTTGTTGCCACTCGTGCTTCTGCCATTTTTTTGTTTATCAGTAACTTTATCCACCTTACTTTTCCCGGCAATAATAGCGGACCGTTATGTCTGGGGTCCGATTTACGTGACGTACATGTAGTTATTGTCCAATGGCGTGCTTGGAAAAGTGCCGGACTGCAGAAAACCCATGAAATAAATAACGCGCCGAAGGGACCGAGACAGCAGGTTAACTACGTTGATTTAAGTTATTATTAAGTATTAAGTAAACTCGCGTTTACGCTTTACTTTCAATAAAAATAGATTTACGTTGTAATCATGGAATGTAAACATTTGGTCCTCAGCCTTTTGTGTGTGGCTTCTTTGCATCTTGTCCCTTCAAACTGCAGAAACACAGGATACATTTACCACAAGTTAACTGTCACCCTGCTTTGTTATTCACCTTAAACTTCAATGTTTGCACTTCGTGTAAATAACTGCCACATAAACAGTCTGTTACTTTTATATCTTGTCATTATATAGGTTTGTTTGTTATGCACCAAATTCCTTGTATGTATAAGCTCTTACACATACACTCTACATGGCAGTATAACGTTAGCTGATTCTGATTAATAAAACACCAACATGTGAGTACTTTAGAGGTAGACACAGAGTCATCCTTACTTTTTTATATGATAATTTATAACATAACATTGTCCCTCATAAGTTTTTGGTGATCTTTTACATAATATATCAGTTATCACAAATTTCTGTTCCATTGTATTGTTAGAAAACTTCACCTGTCAATCTTAATATGATGAGCAACGTCACATAATCATGCCAACCACCAGATTGCTCCTGTACTCATCCAGGTTTGCTAACATCACATGTATAAAAGAAACAGGGGTCTGTGTGCATGTAGAGAAAACTGGACCCATCATTCCTTTTACAGACACAGGATGGGAAAGTGTTATAATATCTTGGGACTAGGAAGTCTTGCAGCTGAAGAGGCAGTGTGAAGATACAATTAGAAAACCTAAAAACCTCCTGCTGTATCAGCTCACACTGGTACCCCAGAGACAACTAGAGCCATTTCACTAACATCACAAAGACAAAATGAGCCCAGGAACGAAGAGCGAAGGCAGTTTAATTCAAAAAGAGATTTAAAAGAAGGTTGGTGTCAAACATGCAATGGATGAGTGTGAAGGTGGATCTTCAACTTTGAATCTGTAAAGGAAACAAAGAACGGAAATTAGGAGCAAGTTCCAATATTTCACACATTACATTTTGAGAAACAAAGTTTATTGTGTGTAAACAAACCGTTACATCACAAGATATTAGCAATATAAAACACCAGCTGTACTCTTGCAACTTTGTGCAGTCAAAGAGAATTTAAATTGCACTGATTGGTTGGGTATCGTTTAAAATTTACGACACCAGTACCCTAAAGTGATACTGATACTTCATTAGATACCTTGCATAAAATACCAACTGTTGAAGCCGTAGTAGTTGATTGGTAGCCTAAAATAATTTTATGGTTGATATGGACAAGCAAGGAGATCCATTTCTTTTTTTCAAATAACACATGGGAAATTGTATCAGATCACTTCTCATCCTACTTCGGTCATCCTCAGAGGAAGGACGACAGCTTGAAAGTTTTTGTATTTAAATGAGAGAGGAGGAGAGAAACAGTTTAGTGACCACATGAGCTGTGGAAAACAAATTTAGGTTCAAGTTTTCTTACGTTTATTGAAAGTAAACGAGAATTATTTTATCTTTTGATTATTAAACTGAATTGAAAGATCTCAAAACAAGTAAGGAGTCTGCTAAACAAGTCACTAAACTACACTAAAGAGTGTAAAGAAGCAAACAGCAAAGAGAGGCTGCACATCCAGCTGATCACACCGACTACACCTGAAGCAGCTGCAGCCGGAGGCTCCGTGAGTAAAAAAAAATAAAATAAAAATTAAAGCTGCAAGCAGCTTGTAGCGCGTCTGGGTGTGAGCCGGCCGAGTTGCATATTCTGGAGCTCTGCCGGTGCGGCTGTGAATTTGCTACGTGGTTCCGACGCAGCATCAAGGTGCTATATGTCACTTCCTGTGTCCCCTATGTGGAGCTACATAGCACTTGCCGCTATGAATATAATTGGTATTGGCGTGTAGATATGTTCAGGGCAGGACAGTTATCAAGCACGTAACGCGCGCGTGCTCATGTAGGAACTGAAGCTGGAGCCCGATGATAAACCTACACCAGGCCGGTTTGATACCGCGTTTCGGTGCCCTCAATGAAAACATTAGTTTTCTTATTCATCGCGTTTCAAGTTAAATCAGATTTGACTCCTGAGACATAACGTTACATTATAGGACCCGCTAGTCTCGATCGCAGTATCGATAAGCTCGGACCCGGACCTAAGTTAATTGATTTTCAGGTTTTGAGAAAGTTTGGAACCGGGTCCTTTTAGAACTGGGTCTCGATGCCCATCCCTAAACAAAGCACTGCCTCTCCAAACTTAATGTTATAGAGTAGGGGTAAATGTCCTTGACATATTATAACTGTAGTGTCACTAACCTGATCACTTGTTGATGATGTGGGCCGGGGATCGTGAGGATGCACAGCCTCAAAACAAGCTGAAGCCTAAATCTGTGGAGTGGAATCTGTCTTCTGCTTGGTATTTAGTGCTGAAGGTAAAAACAGACACAAGATGGTGAGAAACCCCAGCAAACACACGAGCTGTAACGTTACGGTCACACACCACTGACTTCTTTTACACATTGAAACGAGCATCACTTGCAAACATAAATAAAAATACAAATGCGCTGAAAATAATAAAAGAAAAACTACCCGATTAACATTATTAGTTAAACAAAACTAATGAGAAATAGATACAGGCCACATTCAACCGATGGGTGCTGTCTTAAAACAAGTTGCTTTACGAGAATTTTCCAACAACATTAATATTTACCCTCGCAGCTTTCACGCATACTGTCCACGGCTGAGCGTCGCTGCTTCCACGCCGTTCTTCGTTGTGTCAACAGCTGATGTAAAGCACTTTGGACAGTGCTATACAAAGAAATGTTGATTGATTGATTGATTGAACAGCGGTGCTCAATGCAGCTAAATCTGATTGGTTAATGACATCGCTTCATCAGTATGCAAGCGTGCTATTGGTTCCTCTGCTATAGTAGGCTGCCGTGTCTTTAATCAATCTGGGTTTTCCCTCGATAGGGATCATTATTTTCTAAAACTAAAGCAGATATGTGTCTTTCCTTTTTCATTTGTTATGACATAAAATTGTATAACTGCTTATGGCATTTATGAAATTGTTGATATTGTGGAAAGATATATGATTAAAAACACGCCCCAACAGACTTTCTTAGACATTACCAGAGACATTTTAGAAAGGACTTTGACATTAGGCCTCCACTTAAATTCAGATTTCTTAAACATAGAAACTTCGAGGGAAACAAGGTGACTCCCACCATTTGACACACCCCAGGACAGTGGGGAGCATTTAGAAAAATGTTTGGAGCATTTTTTATTTGTTTGTTAAATTAAAGTTTTTGTTTTTTAAAGTGACAACCAATTTATCCTCTTAAATCAACACTTGACCTGCCTACAATAAAATCCATAGATGTAAAACACTTAAAGTGTATCACAATGTCATTTTAAAATTATCATCACTAGTAAAAAGGCATTTTTGACAGGCTGAGGCAGGCTGCTGCTGCTAATCGCAACAGCATGCAGAAAAACAAACCGGCCATATAATCTAAATAAATAGTCTGACAATAAAAAAAAACATGCAGGTTGCCTTACCTTACTGCATCAAAAATCAAGGCTTCACCGCAGATTATGTCCAATCCCAAAATCCAATCCAAAACGAACAATGAGACAGCCTCCTAACGCTGCAGCCAGAAGTCTCTGAAGCCACTTTCATAATAAACGCAGAAAGACTTTCCGCCAGTATGCTGCATTCGCTCATTTATACTTCACAAACATTTGCAGCATAATCCTGATACCATGGGTGCTATATGTCTATGAAGATTCTCAGTCATCCAGGTCATAGTTATCCAACGAAGGTTAAAATTAAGGGCAACTGGACTTGGTTGACAACCAATTTTTTTTATCCAATTTTAACCTTCGTTGGATAACGTGCGCAATAGAAGGCTAATACAGGCTTGATGCTGGCCCGCATGTGAACTATGACATGAAAATTGTCCCGAAGCCTGGCCCTAGGGGCCTAAATAAGTCGGGCCCCGTCGGAGGGGCATGCAGGGCTCTTTTTCCTGTTGTTCCCTCCACCCCCACCTCTGTTCTCACATCTCTGTGGTGTCCATTTGTGCCCATTTCGGCCCCCCTTTTTGGCCATGTGACAAATAATTACATAATTTAATAAATAATAAAGAAGACAAGGGAGTAAATTAAAATTCTCTAGCTAAAGCAGAGGAGAGGAGTACCATGTTGTACCAGACTGTCTGGCACAACATGGTACTCAGCTCCTCACAATGCATACCAGACTGCTGGGCGGGATGACATAGACCCACATTGCATAATTACAATTCTGCTGTATGTAATAAAGTAGCAGTAGCTCAGACCACAAGGATTTGGGTGGGAACTGGAGGATTGCCGGTTCGAGGGCAGCTCGGACCAGAGATGTGGAGTATGGACTGGTAGCCAGAGAGATGCCAGTTCACCGCCACTGCCTCAGGTGGCCTTGAGCATGCGGCTGAACCGCCAACTGCTCGGGGCCCCACACTGAGTGGCAGCTCCCTCGCTCTGACATCTCTCCATGTATCATATGTGTGTGTGCATAATACTGAAACATTTACATGTGAAGAGTGAAAAAACATGGAATTTCCCCTTGCGGCATTATAGAGTAATCATCTTCTTGTTTATATTTTAATTTAGACAATTGTTCCCTTGCACTAAATCCATTATTCACATAATCACACAATAAATCTAATTATTAAGGTTATTTCAGATTGGCTAGTTTGTCTCCAATCTGATCATTATTAGGATCATCGGTGACTAGCAAAGTAGAGAAGCACTACACATATAATTTATGCATGTGCAACAAATGTCCCATTTCGTGCCCAGAATTTAGACACAAATATAATGTAATACTCAACACGCCTGGATATGCAAAATCCTAAAGAGCAGCAGAAGAGATTGGTTTTTGGAGTCTGTGCATACTATTTAGAAGTAGAAGATTTTTAGTTAGCTATGATTTCAACATTGTTTCAATATTAAAAAATGGTGCAAAATGATGATTGATTCAATTAAATTAGCGTTGAGAGCAGAATGCTGATTCAACATAGTTTCTATAATGTTTGCTATCTGGGTAGCTTACTTCCTCCTGTACGATGTCTCCCTCCAGCAGGTCCAGACCAGCCGCTGCAAAGGAAAATTAATTATGTTAAGTTAATAAAAATGGTACATTCTTTTTTTAAATAAGATATTAAATTATTTAGTAATAAATAGGACTGATAAGAGCATTAATAAAGAACTGAGCCAAAAGGGATTACCAATACAAGTGTGTCAATAAAATCCTTATGATTCCCAACTCGTGAGAAATGGCAATTGAATTTGTAATTGAATAGCCCTGGTCTACAGTAATCATAGTAATCTATCTTCCTTGCAACGAAATGTACATTAAACTGAATGCAGCATTGTAGACAATATTCTGTCCTTGTAATCCATGTTTCCACTGCATGGATAGCCTTTGGATATTGCTGGAAATCCCCTCCTTAAAGGGTATATTATTATCATAACAATTTAACAATGCATTGCATTTAAACAGCACTTTTCATACACAAAAAGCGATAAAAGTAGCCTACTGGTCCTACCTGGACATGCAGTCTGCCAAAATATGCATTCCACTCCATAATGCACAGATTATGGCCTACTATCAAGTATTTTGTTTTGTGTATATTTCACATCATGACTAATAACAGGGGTGAATATGGTGGTGTTTCTTGTTTCCTAGCAAATGTTATAGTGGGATACAAAATACAAACTGGGATCCAGAGAATGTCTAGAGCTTAAACTGTTCATTAAGCCTTACAAAGAAGAGTTGCATCAAAGAATGTGCTGTAACTTGAGCTAAAATTAACAGGGATGTTTTTATATATATATATAATGTAATTTAATAAAACTATAACTAAGTTACTAGAAAGATCCTGTTACTGAAACAAATAAGTGTAAGTTACTGAAATATACTAAAACATTACATTATATACTAAACAAGACATTTTAAGAGCTTGAACAGTGCCTTTGTCTCTTTTGTCCCGGATTGAATGTACCCCTCTGACAAAACTAATGGCCCCAGCCTGGCACCCTCAATGAAACTGGTCTAGAACTGGCACTGGTAATTAATACATATTCATTTTATATTAATATGGGTAAAAAAGGAGTCATTCTTTTCCCACTAGTTATATTCATGGATTTAGATCATTACAGGTAAAGCACTCACAGTACATCCAGTGTGCTGGAGTGGAGCCAAAATTACAAAAATCATACCATAGTTCTATTGTACTGTGATCTTGAAACACTTCATGGGAAAGTATACAATATATTGCCTCAGCCTGTTTTCCTGACAAACCATGTTTCCTTTTTTCCATTGGTTGATGAAAATCATCAGAGACATATAAATGTTGGACAACAAAGCGAAACAAAAATAAAACTCAATGATACACAAACCTTCATTGATGCTAAGGATGTCCCAGTCATGGCCTTCATCAACATCATTTTCTGCAGATGAAGAATCAATAATATGCTGCTCAAAATGTGATTACAGGAGGTAAAAAAAATAATTGTTATTATACTGTTAGCTGGTACAATTAGAGTTATTGAGTTCTGAGTTAGAACTGTCTCTGCTGAGCTGAATGTACAACTTCAGTTCATGAAGGGTGCAGTGGGGACTAGGGGTGGGAGAAATAATCGATTCTTAGATGCATCGCGATGCGGACGTGGAAGATTATGAATTGATTAACAAATATCTACAAATCGATTATTTAAATGTTAATTGATGCAAAGTGCAATGTTGACAGAACGCAAAAGGCGGAAATGCAGCCGGACCATCTGTGGAGCGCGCACAACGGAGAACCAGTGTTCCCCTGTATTCGCCACCACTGCAGAATGAACAACCACCCACAATAAAAATGAAATATATTAGCAGTAAGTTTCAGTCACTGTGTGTCCGTTAATAAAAGTCTGTAGTTTCCCCAACGGCTGGAAAAGTGAAGGCTGTTAGCGCTAGCTAACATCTCCTCTGCTCTCTGTCCCCCACACCAGACACCACACTTTTGGGGACAGAGCCATCAGCGTCACAGCCCCCACCCTCTGGAGCTCATCCCCACAGAGATCTGAAATGCTCCCTGTCTGGACACTTTCAAACATCTACTAAAAACCCAGCTCTTTACCCAGGCATTCAGTCCTGAATGACTTTGTTGTTCTGTAACTATGTGTAAAGCGTCCTTGGGTCCCGTCAAAGGCGCTAAAATATTTATTTATTCATGTAACGTTCCTAAATTTGTAACAAAGTAATATTAAGTATCAGCTGTATGTCATTCCTAACTAAACTACTAGTCAAGGGCTGAACACATCAGGCACAAGCTTAGACTAAACTGGTGTACAGTTCTGTCCTGTATACATACTGTACTGAACATCCTGATAATTATTTTTCACTTTTCAGGAGTCTGACAACTGGTTGTTAAAGAAATGAGGGAGCAATAGCAAAATGCAATAGCAGATGCGAGTCAGGCATTCACTGGCAAAAGATCACAAGTGTATAGGGTGGGTGGGGTATTTCAAATTTTCTCACTCAAGTTATACTGAAGTGTCTGTCTACTTTTTGACTGTAAATAACATGTAAAAATCTCTATATGTGACTCACCTGTGTCACCTGTTAGCTTGGCTGCTGCCTAGTAAATACATTAGAAAGCACATTGATCACATAATTTACTAAAGAATGAACTGACATTCTAGGAATCAACATTAAAGCATTGTTTTACACTGGAGATCCAACGTGGATGTTAGTGTTTGACAAAGAGCAAAGGCTTACACTTACCAGTCCCAGGCCAAAGAACAGAATGATCCACCTGAGTGCCATGGCTGCAGCTGAAGATACACGCTCACTGTGTTGCTTCAACCTGCCCGAGTCCTGCTGTGTCTAAAGAAATGTTATTTTCTCTTTGTACAGAAAAATAAATACATACATGTTTCGCCATGAAACAGGAAGCTGTAACGTCACTATTTATTGTCCAACCTCCTGCAGACTTGATGTGTTTGATAAGAGTTCAGGCCTCCTGATTCTGAGGAAGCTGAATGTACATCTTAAAGACATGAATGGGGCATGAAGGATGCAGTGGGTTAAGCACCGCTGGCAAAGTAAGACATTGGGAGCAGGCATTCACTGCCAGAAGGAGAGCAGTGTAAAGCGTGGGCTGGAGTATTTTAAATCTACTACCTTTTGACAGTAATTAACATGAAGGTCAAACATCAAAAGGTAAAAGGCACATTGTGTTTATTTGATAGTAAGAGATACATTCAAGCTTCTGAGGGGAATAAATCTTTCTTTTTTTGATGACCCCATGTCCTTGACAGCCTGGGGACAGTTTAGATTTACAATGTAAAAAGTGAAGTAATGGTCTGTGGCGATTATGGGGGGGAGCCAACAGTGCCCCTGTAACACAGATCTTGGACCTCCCTATGGCCCCCCTCTGAACGAAAAGTCTACAACAGCCCTATTGAATTGGCGGCCCGCGGGCCACATCCGGCCCAGCACATAATCTAATATATGACAACAAAAGTAAACTACATGTATAGTGTATGAAAGTAGCTAAAGAGTGAGCTGTGTGGTTTCCTTCTCATCTTTGTTGTGCACTCGCACACACGGCGGCAGCAGAGGGAGGAGGACAGGAGGGACTGAGCTGTTCATTCTTTCTAAACTTCACTCAGTATGTTGATTTCAGGAATATGATCTGTTTTACTGACATGTTAGATTTGTTTCCAGCGAGATATTAGTGACTTTGTTGTTTTAAATCCCGTTGCTGCTCTAGAAACAACATTTAGTTAATAAAAATGGTACAATCTTTTTTTAAATAATAGATTCAGTTATTTAGTAATAAATAGGACTGATAAGAGCATTAATAAAGAACTGAGCCAAAAGGGATTACCAATACAAGTGTGTCAATAAAATCCTTATGATCCCAACTCGTGAGAAAATGGCAATTGAATTTGTAATTGAATAGCCCTGGTCTACAGTAATATAGCAATCTATCTTCCTTGCAACGAAATGTACATTAAACTGAATGCAGCATTGTAGACAATATTCTGTCCTTGTAATCCATGTTTCCACTGCATGGATAGCCTTTGGATATTGCTGGAAATCCCCTCCTTAAAGGGTATATTATTATCATAACAATTTAACAATGCATTGCATTTAAACAGCACTTTTCATACACAAAAAGCGATAAAAGTAGCCTACTGGTCCTACCTGGACATGCAGTCTGCCAAAATATGCATTCCACTCCATAATGCACAGATTATGGCCTACTATCAAGTATTTTGTTTTGTGTATATTTCACATCATGACTAATAACAGGGGTGAATATGGTGGTGTTTCTTGTTTCCTAGCAAATGTTATAGTGGGATACAAAATACAAACTGGGATCCAGAGAATGTCTAGAGCTTAAACTGTTCATTAAGCCTTACAAAGAAGAGTTGCATCAAAGAATGTGCTGTAACTTGAGCTAAAATTAACAGGATGTTTTATATATATATATATAATGTAATTTAATAAAACTATAACTAAGTTACTAGAAAGATCCTGTTACTGAAACAAATAAGTGTAAGTTACTGAAATATACTAAAACATTACATTATATACTAAACAAGACATTTTAAGAGCTTGAACAGTGCCTTTGTCTCTTTTGTCCCGGATTGAATGTACCCCTCTGACAAAACTACTGGCCCCAGCCTGGCACCCTCAATGAAATGGTCTAGAACTGGCACTGGTAATTAATACAAATTCATTTTATATTAATATGGGTAAAAAGGAGTCATTCTTTTCCCACTAGTTATATTCATGGAAGTGTGAAGAGAGCTTGGAGGAAAATCTAAATATTCAAAAGGAAATTCAGGAAAGCTGATTAGCAGGCCTTAGACTTATTCCTAAAGGCCCTTCCCATAGCCCCTCCTCTTGGGCCACTCAAGCCAGGACAGGGATAAACTTTACAGTTTTAGATCATTACAGGTAAAGCACTCACAGTACATCCAGTGTGCTGGAGTGGAGCCAAAATTATGAAAAACATACCATAGTTCTATTGTACTGTGATCTTGAAACACTTCATGGGAAAGTTACAACATATTGCCTCAGCCTGTTTCCCAACAAACCATGTTTCCTATTTCTTCATTTTGTTTTCGTACAGTTATTGCAATAGAACAAGCAGGCTTAATAAATTCCTATTTTAAATAAAATGTAATTTTTTTTACCTGCACCTGTACACTTTTGAAAATGATATAATTTTTCAGCACAACAATTTGTCTGATTTGGGAGAAAACACACTCTCTGTAACTATGACGAATTTGTACGATGAAGAAATTTATTTGGATTTGAAACCTGATGACAAAGTTTGCTGAATGCCCAGAAGTGCAGTTCAAAATGTTTGAATTTTTTAATCTTTCAAATTTTTTGAGATGCTCCTGTATATATGAATGATGATCAACACGATTTTTTATATTTCTATAAGGAAATATTTTGGTAATGGGTAACACAGGTGTGCTAGGATGAGCTTAGGGAGGACAGAAACCTCCCATGGAGAAAAAGGGCAAATGCTCGCTCGATCTTTATTTTCAATATGAATAGGCCTATATGATAGAAAAATTGCAACAAAAAATACCCACAATATAATAATAATAATAATAATAATAATAATAATAGGGTAATTATTATAATATGTAATACTTATTCTTAAAATGTCATCACCTTTTGAGTTCTTCAACTTTTTATGTAGCCTATGTAGCACGTAGAGCCATGTATGCATTAATTATTTCTTTCAAGGAGATTTATTTCAGCCCTATTTCCTTTTCCCTAAGTGTTTATCCCACTTGTCAGGCCGCCATTGTAAATAACAACTTGTTCTTAATGACTTGCCTGTAAAAATAAAGAATAAAAAAGAAAAACAAAAATACATACGTATTCTGTAAACATAGCTGCTTTTATCCTTTGTCAGCCTATTTGCGTAGGCCAACTTTGTGATTTTTGCATGCTTGCAATTGTAGCCCACTTACTTCACTACTCCACTCGAAATGCTTGCATTATTAGATTATTTAATACTCGCTGTTTTACGAGACGTTCATATGCTCATCCTCTGAAGCAGGGGTTTTCAAAGTGTGAGGCGGGCCTCCCTGGGGGGGCTCCAAACTGTTTCAGTGGAGGCTCAGTGAATAGAAGTGAAACAATATTGCATTAGTTATCAAAAGGAGATCACAGAATAGCCTACATGTGTGAGAGTTCAGAGATGCAGTAGGTTTTGGAAACTGTTTTTTCCATCAGAGTCAGAAACTAATAAATACATTAGGACTTTTTTTATATACAGTCTATGTTTAGGACAGACCTTTTTTAAAACTATTTGGTGTAGTCAGAAGTTATGTCAAACAGCAATATTAGGCTATTTTGGCTCAAATGTTGAGTGTCTATGGGATCAAAAAATGTAATCATGATCCAGGAATTGAGCAAAACTTACCAAGTAAACTAAAGACGTGGTGAGGGTCGGCGTTTCCCAAGCTTTGTCTGAGGGGAGGCCCGCAGTCTCAGACTTTGAAAACCGCTGCCCTAAAGTCTGCTGATATGCGCTCCAAACCAACACCAACATGAACCTGAAGGTGATCCATTCTGTATCCAGGTAGCTAGGTCTACAGGTGTTTTAAAAACCCAACAGCTGACAGAACCAATTATCTCAAATATCTGTTTGATTTGGCCCTCGTAGTGAAAGTGCACTTCCTCCTTGATGGCAGAAGTCGAAATTTTCCAAGGAGATGGTGTCAAGGATCCGCCAAAATGACCTTTGCCTTTTGAGTGGCTCTCACTTGGATGGCATGGTCAAGATCATTCAAGTTAGTGCCAGTAGTCTTTTGGCAAAGTTTAACAATCTTTCCCAGCCTATTTTTGTTAACAATACTGAGATTGCTCAACTAACAGATTGTTCAAGTTCAAGTTAAAATTGACTCAATAAAAGATTTCAGTCAGGACAACTTTTCGGCATTGTAGTTATGTTTGGCGGTATGGCTCTGTTCTGGGATGTCCCTGCCCATCCATGTGCATATATGGAAAGCCTGAGGCAGAGTGCAGCAGTGAAGAACCCCCCAAAACAACCCCACTACCCTTCCACGTGCCAACCTGGAAAAGCCATAAGGCAGGGAGAGCACCTCCCTGCCCATCCAGGTGCATACATTGAAGGCTCGAGGCAGGGAGCAGCAGTAAGGACCCCCCAATGCCCACTGACAAACTTACTCGGCCTTCTTTGCGCTTACATGAAAGTGCCAGCAGCAGGACCCAAGTGAACCCTTATTAAAGCAAGTTACTCTAAATAAGATGAAGTGAGGCCATTGCATAATAAGTGGTCTTAAGACCGGTCTTAAGACCACTTTTTGATGGTCTGGGTCTCGTCTCGGTCTCGGCCGCCTTTGTACTCGGTCTTTTCTCGGTCTCGGACATTGAGGACTCGGAATTTTATTTCAAGACCAGTCAAGACCATAACTTTGGGGATATGAAGAAATTGCTTTTACATTGTCTGATTTGTTAAAATCCTAACTTTGATTGGAAGTAAAACTTATTGCTTCAAATGCAACCAATAACCCTAATTAAACATGTGTTCCCGTTAACGACAGCTGTCACCCCTCCTCGCAATGCTTACGTTGATTTCAGCTCTTAGTGTTTGTATGTGGGTGTTTTAATGGGAAAGTGGATCTTTCAGATCACTTTGAGAAGTACCTATGATCTCATTCCACATTTTATTGCGTGCCATGCAATGCAGGAAACTGGTCTTGGTCTTGACTTGGTCTTGACTCGGTCTTGCCCTCCCTCGGTCTTGGTCTTGACTGCTCTCAGCCCCTAAAAGTCTCGTACCTTGTCTCGGTTGCGATGAACTCTGGGCTGGCACTGGTATACATATTCATTTTATATTAATATGGGTAAAAAGGAGTCATTATTTTC